CAATCCAAATGAATTCAATTCCCCTTTGCTTCCTGCTTACATGAAAGCCACTCATTTCTTCAGGCTAGTGTGACCAAACTAGCGGATTGCAAACCTACCCGGGGGACAGGGACTTTGCACTCTCTCTGAGCTGGTTTTTATGTGTTTGGAACAGCAGCAGCTGCAGGTAAAAGCTACAGATGGGAGCAAGGGACACGTAAAAGTCTTCAAGGCTTATTTATTAATTTAGAGACAGAATCTTGCTATGTAGCCCAGGCTGGCCTGGAAACAGCAGTGATCTTCCTGCTTCAGCTTCCTGAGTGCTAAAGGCTTATTTACTTTCAACATTAATCTCTCTCCTTTTTTTCCCCTTCCAATACTGAAGACAAGCCCCAGGCCCTCCTGCCTGCTAGGCCAGCACTATACTACTGAACTACATGCCCAACATTAAACTCCTACTGTCAGACTTCCCTCTTTCTACCCTTTTTTTTTTTTTTTTTGTAAAGGATTGCATAGCGGAAGAATTTTATTTGCTTATTTTGTCTTTTGCACAGAGACAACTCCCAGCCCCTTTTGTCGCCCACGCACCAACTGGCGCTGCAAGAGTAGACAACTGGGTGCTTCTAATGTTTTGCTGAAAATCCTTAAGGCCGGAGGTGAGAAAGCCAGCACTGCTCCTTAGCTGGCCCGGGCTGCACTTTCCTGTCAGTAGCTGGGAAGGTCGGAGTAGTACCTAAAAACTGGCGGGTGCTAGTGGGATAAAAAGTTCCAGGGAAGGAAACTTGGTGATTTACGGCTCTGCACTGTTGAGGTCCAGGGCCTGCAGAGGGTGAGCAAGGCGGGGCCTCCCCGCTCCCAAGCTTCATTCCCCACAATGAACCCGGACTCGGTGAGACCAAATCAGCTGCTCTCCTCCCTGCAAGTTCCAGAGTCCAAACGCTTTCCTGCTGACTAGCTGCTTTTTAAATGAGAGGGCAAAGGAAGGAAAAAGGCAGTCTTTTCTGTCGACTCGCAGCTGGCTCTCGCGGTGTCTACCAGACACAAGGCTAATACCTGGTCGCCCTCCTCTCCCCACTTGCATGCCACCCTCCTTGGGCCTCCCAAACTAAAGTGACCCGAAGGCCCAGAGCGTGGAGCAACGGGCAGCCTTGCCATCTCCAAACGCTGAAATTCCAAGTGCCTGCAAATAAGTAACCCTCACAGCAAAATGTCTTTGTCAACCAGAACATCATCATACTTGTCCGGATGCCCACCAAGAGGGCCTTCGGCCAAACCAATGGGAAACCACTGGCCCAATTAACATCCTGTGATCCGAGATCTAAAAATGACCCCGAGCCGGGTAAACAAGGTGACGTCAGCGTGCTGGGCGGGCAGCGGCTCTCTACTGCCACCCCGAGGACAGTGCGCGCGGCAGCGGGGAGGGGACAGCGGCGGGGAGCGCAGGGAGGAGGCGAGGCTGCTAGGCGACCTCAGCTAGAGGAAAGCCAGGCCACTGGGCGTGTGGCGTGGTCCCCGCTGGCTTCCTCCCAGGAACATTCCTTCTACTAGAGGCGTCATGATCCCGCTCTAGAAAACATTTTGGCTAAACCGGTGACCTCAAAGCAGGATGGGGGCAGGGCGGCCTTGGTCAGCACCATCTGGACCCCGGGAGGGCAGAGGTGGCTTGGATTTCGGGCTTGACCGGGACTTCCGTGGAGAAAGGGCGCCCCAGTGTCCTCCTTTACTTTCGTGCTGAGACCAGAGCGAGGCTGACAGGCTCTGGGCACTATGCAGCCCGCCTGCTGGGAGCTGCCCCAGAAAAGTGTGGGGGTGTGATGGCGCGGGTCATTTACCCTCTCCTCCTCCCTCTCCCTCATAGATGTCCCACAAATGGAAACTGCAGAGTTGATTTCCTTTTGTTTTTTTTGACAGGGCCTTGCTATGTAGTCCAGGCTGGCCTTGAATTTGTGGTGATCCTCCTGCCTCAGCCACTTGAATGCTGGGATTACAGGCATGCATCACCATTACTGGCATACAAACCAGAATTGATTCTTTTTTTCTCTCTCTTTTTTTTTTTTAACTTAAGAGAAAAAAGACACAAAAGAAAACCGAAAAGCAAAAGAGACAAACAACAAACCCAATACAATAACAGTACAGGTTTACAAAACAAGATGATAAAGTTGATTTTTAACTTAAAAAAACAAAATCCACTTTGCTTTTGGAGCAGTCTTTGAAGCCCTACAGACTATCTCCTAAGCTCAGTGACCCAGGACAGCAGAGCTCCCAGTTTACTTGCACATGGGTCTCAGGTCAGCTGGGGTCTGCTACCGAGTTAGGCCGCACTCCAGGTTCTGGGTCCCCTATCTGTCTGCTTCCATTCCTGGACAGGAGCCATAAAGGAACGGTCACTACCCAAGAAGCTGGGGTGGATGTTCAAGACTGCCAGTGGATCTGGGTAAACACTGAGGGTTGGAGAAGTGGGATATACTCTGTCTGCTCAGGCGAAGGAATTTGCAAAATTCCCAAGGCAGGTGATGTGGATGTTCTCCAGCCGGGACAGGCGGGGCTTGGTGAAATCCCAGCACTTTCCGAGGCTGAAGCAGAAGGATGGTAAGTTCAAGCCTAGCTTGGGCAACTTAGCAAATTAGGGGGACCCTGTCTCAAAATAAAAAATAAAAAAAGGCTGGGGATGTTGCTCAGCGTGGAGGCCTTGGGTTCAATCACCAGGAACACAAAAGAACCGGGAACAACTCTTACTTGTAAATGCAGAAAAGCTGGCAAACACCCGTTCAGACTATTGCTAGTTACCACACGTTTCCTCACCACAGAAAATGAGGTGACAGCAACATAGTCCAAGTCCTGCATCTGCCGCCAGCCCCTTGGGTCACACGTGCAGGTTGGATGGTCAGGTGGTCAAGTGTGGTCATCAGCCAGTAGTGACAGGAAGGTCCAATTTGCAAAGCACAAGAAGGCCAAAGGAAAGCAATTACTGTTAAAAGCGCATTTTGCTCCTTAAAACTCCTAAAATGACTTCTCATTGTCCTCAAGACAGTGCGACCCTTTTAGTAAGGATTACCTCTCCCAGTTCTATTAGGATTACCTCTCTGAGTTCTCAAAGCCCAGCTCCTCCTCCTCAGATTAAGCCAGATTAAGTTCAGACCTATTGTTCACCAGCTGGGCTATTCTGCACATTCTGCACGCTGTTCTGCAGATTCTCCATGCGGCCGGCCTTGCCAGCTGCTGAGCACATACACTCGGCAGCCAGGCCACCTCTGTCCCTGCCTCCTGGAGCGAGGCGCTTGGGAGTTCAGATGGGAGGGGAGACGTTAAGCGAAGACTTCCTGACTAAGTGCAGAATTATGCAGCAGGCATGCGTTTCAGTCCATACCCCTGGATTTCTGTGTGTCTATCCACTTCTCTCTCTGACCTCCTTGATTCTGGGACTTGAATCCAGCCCCTCATGCTTGCTAGGCAGCACTTGTCAGCGAGCTACAGCCTAGTCCTCTTTATTTGCTTTTGAGACAGGTTTTCACTAATGCCCAGGTTTGATTTTGGACTTGAATTTGCAATTCTGGTGCCTCAGTCACCTGAGAGACTGGGGTTTTGCGTGTGTACACCGCAACCAAGTTTGAACTGGGTGGCTGAGGCAGGAGAGGTTAAGTTTCTAAGATATTTTTTTGCTCCATTTCTAAGATATAATTTATTTTTTAAAATTTCATTTGAGTCCGACATCTATGGTAACCCCGGAAATTCCATTTTGGTGATTCTAGGGCCTCACACCTTCTGTGGCCTTCATGTTACTGAGTTTCTTCAGAGTTGCTTTCTCACATGTCCGCATCAGATGCACTCAAGATGCTGTGTTCTTTCCCCCGTGTCCCTTAGGGTTGTTTGTTTGAGGCAAGGTCTCTCTATATAGTTCAGGCTGACCTTGAACTCACTTTGTAGGGCAGACTGACCTTGAACCCGCCGCATTCCTCGTGCCTCAGCCCCCCAAGTGCCGGAATTACAGGCGTACACCATCACACCTGGCTTCCCATGGTCCCTGTTTTACCATCCTGTAACTTACTTTCAAATGCTGCAGCGTGCTAGGTGGGGGACCTAGAGGGGGACCAATTGAAGGGTTGTATTGGTGAGGAGGTTTCATAGCTAAAAGTGACTTAAGGATATTCATTATCTTACATAACAAAAAGCAAAGACAGGTGATTCCAGAGTCATGTGGAATGAATATTGTCACCAGAGTCCCTTTCCCTTCACTGTCCTTAGCCTATTGGACTTGTCCTTATGCTGGTTGCCTCATGGTCACAAAGTAGCTGCCTCCATATGAGGCTCACATAAACCACAGACCTGCTCATTAGTGTATTTCTGCTCTTAGTCTAGTGCCTGGCATACAATAGTATATACTGAGTACATTTCCCGTCCTTCTTTCCTTCCTCCCCTCCTTCCTTCCTTCCTTCCTTCCTTCCTTCCTTCCTTCCACTGCAGTACTGAGGAGTAAACCCAGGGCCTTGCACATATTAGGTGAGGACTCTACCTCTGAGCTCTAACTCCAGCCCTATATGTTTTAATTGAATAAGCAGAAATCAATATAAGTGATTATAAACATTTCAGTCTCAACGGTTTCTGAAACTCGCCCCTCCCATCCCCTGCCCCTACACATACACAATTCCTGGTACTGGGGACTGAATTCGGGGCCTTCACGTTGAGCTGTATACTCTCAGCTGTTTTTTATTTTGAGAGTCTCACTAAGTCATTTAATTATCCAGCCAGGGTTCTTATTTGCAATATTCCTGCCTCAGCCTCCCAGGGTGCTGGAATTACAGGTGTGTGCCATTACCCCTGCCTGTTTTTACACTCTTGCCTTTTGTACCAGAAATGCTAAGAGCCACAGCTGGCCAAAAATCTCAGGACTCATCCTGTTGTCCTCAGCAAGGGGGCGCAGGAAACCCCAAAGATTGTAAGCGACAGTGCTTGTCGGCTAATCAGATGGAATTCAATAGTTGTGTGATTTTCTCCTTACTGGAGACACAGGCGTCTTGCGCGAGACTGGCAAAGTGGGGGAGGTAACCACAGGGTTTACGCGCCCCCAACCATGAACGTCACGTCGCCTAACGCAACACATTCATTTCCTCTTTGTTGACTGATTATGTGTTCAAGGTCAAAACACCCTTGTGCATGTCTGCCCTACCTTACGCTGTTCCGTTTTCTAACAAGCACTCAACACGCCTCGTACCAAAGAGGTGGAAATCAGACTCCCAGGCGCCGCAGTGAATTTGGCCGGGAGATACTGCAGGCGTGGTGTGGGGGAGCACGCTCAACTCAAGGCTCAAAAACCCCTGCCTGATTCTGCCCACGCTTGAATCTGGAGAGGTCAGCAGGGACCAACAATCAAATGCCTTTAAAGTCTTACTGAGGAACTTAGCCTTTACCCAGTGCACCGGGCCATGACAAGGTCAGTCAGAGTTTTTGGCAGTGGATAATCAAGGGTGGATTCGAGGGGGAAAACTGGATTAGTGGTGAGAAGATGAGCTAGGATCCAGTCCAGGGAAAGGGGGATGGGAACATAGGACCAAAGCCCTGCGTGTGGGAATGAGAATGAATCAGGAGCCTTGAGAAGCAAAACTAACAAGAAAGGCGTAGAGACAATTAAATATAAGAAAGGGAAAGACGGGAGGAAGGGAAAGTCAGAGGGAAGCTGAGGAGCCAGAGAACATCACGCAAGTGAAAGCATCGCTTCGCAGGCTTGTTACAGCTGCGTAAATGTGTGTAAGCGTGGGTCAGCAGGCACGGGAAAGGGCTCTTTCCAGGGCTACTCAAACGCTTGTGCGCAATGGATTCTAGCAGAGTGTCTAAAACCTCAGCCACCTGCTTACTGAAAAACCAATTCACAGTTTTTGTCACTTTCAATTAACACCTGCACTTCTAATGATTGGTATTTTTTAATGAAGTTGTCTTTTACTTAAATATTTACTGTTTATCCTAAAAAAACAAAAACAAGACAACCCTATCTGTAAAATCATGACTTTGATGTACCAGCTATGGTTTCGTGTGTATTGAAACAATTGAAATTGAGATTAAAAATGAATCCATGACCTATTTTTTTGTTTGTTTGTTTTTGGGGATTTTTTGGTACCAGGGATCAAACTCACAACCTAGAGCTTGCCAGGCAGGCGCTTATGCCGCTGAGCTAAATCCCCGGCCTTGTGCACTATTTAAAATGGTTATTACCCAAACGTTCAATTGTATGCAGGGAAGACTCAGGGAAACTCTGACCTAAGGAGCTAAAACTATATGTATATTTTGCTTTCAGGGGCCCACGCTTGGCTTCCATTCAGCCTGTTTCAGTGTCCAGCCCTGAATGGCAGGCGGTGTCCTTGTGTCCATCGCCCACAGAGCCTCGCCCTGGCAGGTAGTGAACAAAGGTGGAGCTGGATCGGAGGCCACGGTGAGCAAATGGGGACTGACTGGGCACGGCTTCTTCACTCAGCATCTCACGCCCCAGACTCCGAAGCTACAGCATTGGCCGGAGCCAAGTTAGCTAGAGTCTCTTGGGTTTTGCAGCTAAGAGACTGCCTGGGGCTCCCTGTGCTTCTCTGGTTTTCTCCCTCACAATGTCCGGGTCTGAACCGGGCAGACCACAACTTCATCCTCATTGGTTCCCATCTGCTGCACCCAGATCGTCTCTGTGACTGTTTTGAAGGGGAAGTGGAATAGAGGGTACTCTATGAACTGGCTGGGGGACGTGAGGGACAGCACTGAACATGAGTCCTAGTTCTCTCCTGTATCAGCGAGTGGGGTTCGGTTGCCACTCTTAGAAGTATCTGCAGCTCTGACGACTTACTGTGCTAAAGCGTTTAGAGACCTTCCCTCTACTTCCTGTTCGTATGTGTGTCTACATGGGACTGGAATCAAACCTACAGCTTCGTACTTGCGAGGTAGACATTCTACCCCTGAGCCACTGCCTCAGCCTTTTAAACATTTTTTCTTTTGAGACAGGATCTTGCTAAGTTGCCCAGACTGGCCCCCAGATTGTGATTCTCCTGCCTCAGCCTTCCAAGTAGCTGGCATTATGGGTGTGTGCCACCGTGGCTGACTTTATAATTCTTCTTTGAATTTCATATTCAGATCTCTTGCCTTATTTTTGAAGTTTGTTTTCTCTTACATGTAAAAATTATTATGGTTATTATATTATAAGCAGCTAAGTTAGGTAGAAATATTACAGGCTGTAGGACAGTGCTGGGCCCTTGAAGGATTCGGTGCAGAAGATGAGAACACAGCACAGCTGTGAGTGGAGGCACAATCACTGAAGGCCAGGCCTCAAGACAAAGATGAAGTGACCACATCTGTCTCCCCAGGAATAAACAGTAATGACTGACATTCGAAATAGTCGTCAGACACCCAGGTGGGAGACCAAGACCTCAACTCACCCCTTCCAGGAAAGGTCCTTGTCTTTCCATGCATACTTGCCACGTGACCTGCTTCCCCATTGGATGAACATTACCTGAGTGACTGTTCTTTTCATTTTACTGGCTGATGATAGTTTCATCCCACTTTACACCTCCTCACGATCCTGTACCCACCTTGTGATTTGTTATAAAGCTTCCCTTGAGAAGCAGGTTCATGGCAACACACTTCTTGGGCCACTCCTGTATTTCTTAGGCAAAATCTACCTTTCCCTCAATTAATATTTTCTTCCCTTAACCTTTGTGTTCCTTAGAATTTGTTCTTTGATTTCAGGTGACATGATGTAGGGTATTGGCACATCTAGTAGGTTGGGAGTTATGATGTTTCCTTATATTATACTGGGAGGTCCTGTATCATCCCTTGTATTAGTTATACATAAATGTTCTATATATGCTGTATCATATCCATTTTTATAAATATTGCACTCCTCCCCCCGCAGCCTTGTAGCAACCTTATCTCATATATCATTTGCTGGAAAGACATTTTAACTTTAAAAAAAAAAAAAACCTATTTAACAATTTTTTTCCTTGAGGGTTTTTGCTTAAAATGAGCTTCCTTAGTCTGAGACTATAAAAATAATTATTATATCTCCTAACGTTGTTTTATTCTTATTTTATTCTTTTGTTTTTGGAGATAGGGTCTTACTATGTAGTTTAGGCTGGCCTTGAACTCATGGCCATCCTCCTGCTTCAGCCTCATGCGTACTTGAATTACAGGCATGAATCTGGCTTATTTTAAATCATGGACCATTTAAAATCTAGTTTATATAAGGAATTGGATAGAGATTCACTTTTATTTTCTTTTTCAAATAGGTGTCCCACTTAATAATCTACTTTTTTTTCACACAGATTCAAAATATATTTAACAGTTTTTTTTTTTTAAGAGCAAAGTCTATTTATTGGGGGGAAAAAGCTGTTGTCTAAGACAGAAAGGGTCCTGAGGTAGTTGCCCTAACACAATTTTAAAAATTACTGGTATTATGCATTTATGGTAGTAAAGACTATTGATAGTTAAACTACAGCATAATTGAACTATTGTATTCATGGAATTATTGTCTTCATGCATTTATAATTCACTATTTTATTTTTTGGTGGTACTGGGGATTGAATTTCAGCACGCCAGGCAAGCATTCTGCCACTGAGATATAGCCCAGCCTTCTGTTTGTATTTTAAAATGTTGACTCCTGACCTCATCACAACCATCTGAATGGCTATAATTAGTCACTGTATTCCTTGTGAACATATAAAAGCTTCAGAAAGATCAGACTTTCCTTTCTGTAATTAGTACCAGTAATCAATTAGTTGACATAAAATATGAGTCACAATTTTAAAGAATTCAGCTTTTGTGATTTTTGACAACTCAAGTATAACTAAGACTTAGGGATTTCTTTGTGAGATCAATGTCCTTGTGCAAAATGAGAAAATCATGGACATTTCCTGTCCTAGTTGCCCCCTGCTTGAGTACCTGCATTTTCTCGTCTCCGTCTCCATCTCCATCTCTCTCCTAGTTCCTCACTGACATTGAGGTGTCAATGACTACTTACCTCCAACTCAGTCCGTGTCATTAGAGAAGAGCCAAGTTTGTGGAAATTAACTTGTTACTAACAAGAGAGTGCTGAAGTCCAAGAAATACTTTTTTGAACTTTTTAATGAAGCTCAGTTAATTCAGTGTTTCTCCCGAAATGAATGCACTGCATTTTGTCTGCACCTTCTTTTGTGAGGGAGGAAAAGATGTGCTTGTCATTGTCACCGCAAGGTCATGAGCCTTTAGCAAAGCCACCTCAGGCTGCCTTGTGGCCACTTTAAATTGCCTTGTAAGTGACTTGAGCTTATATGGTTGTTCTCATTTTGTTTTAAATGTCGCCCAAGATGAATTTTTAATAAGTTCATCAAATCTATATTGCAACTGAGGAAGAATGATACTGCAAATCTATTTTTAGCTGAAATCATAAAAATTATGATTATATAAAAATTGCTGAGAGTAAATTACAAATGTCCTTACCACAAAAAGTAGATGTACTTGCTATCTTAATTAGTTTGCTTAATAACTCTACATTTTATTCATAAATCATGATACAGGGATAATATAGAGGCTCCAAATGACATAGGGAAATATGATAACTCCCAATCTGCTAGATGTCTGAAAGCTGAGTTCATGTTCCCCAAAATTGAAGAGTGAATTCTCAGCAACAGTGGAGATTAAAAGCAGGAAATACTTATTGAGGAAAAGATAGTTTCTGCCTGAAAGAGACAGAGGTGAGCCCACTACTCAAAGGAAGTTTATAGAACAAAATCATGAGATGGATATAAGGTGGGATGAAACTATGATCAACCAATAAGATGAGAAGTATCATCACTCAGGTAATGTTGATCCAATGGGGAGGCAGGTCACAGAGCAACTGTGCCTGGAAAGAACAAGGACCTTTCCTGGAAGGGGTGGGTCAGGTCCTGGCCCCCCACCCAGGTGACGGATGCCTATTTTAAATATCAATCATTCTTGTTTATCCCTGGGGAAGCAGGTGCATCACTTCTTTGTCTTGAGGCCTCTGAAATCTCACCCCCTGAGCAGTCCCTATTGCCCATTGGAAACAATCCCTGTGAGCTGCCCTGTGTCCTGCATTCACATGTCACTTCTGATTGAAGAAGAGTCAAGACCACCAGATCAATGCGGTTGACAGTTGAGAATATGGTCATTCCCTCCCTCTGCAGCCTAGCCTTTCCCTTCCATCAAAGAAGTGGTAATTGAGGTCTCCCTGGCTTGCAGGAAACTGTAGGCATTCCCCTCAGGGTCCTTTCCAGGGGACTCCCTGATTTGGGATTTCAGTTTCGACTCCCCAAGCACAGTTTTTCCAGTAACAAAAGACCTTCAGGCCTCTTAAATTCATCCGAGGACACAGAGCAGTCAGGATAGCAGCCATGTGAGGAACAAATAACAAAGCACTAATTGCAAAGTGGGCATAGAGTTTCAGTGACTCACGGTGGCTAAATATAGGCGAACACTTGGTGTGCTGTGTGTGCCAGGGAGAACCATGATGCAATCATCCGCTGCCCTCAGTGGCAGGGGGAGGACTAGGGTCAGCAGGCAAGAATGGGATTACCTAATAAATGGTCACTTGTAATGATATCCTGCTCCCATGCAGAGTTTGCGCGCGCACACACACACACACACACACAAAGAAAACATTATTGCACAGCTTTAAAACAATCACAATATTCAGCTTCTGACTATGGTTAAAAATAAACTTTTTAATTTGTTTCAATTTTTTCTATAATCTTGATTGCATATGAAATTCATATTCACTTTAGACAATTTGGAAAACAGAATGACTACTAATTTATTTGTGTTTGTGTTTGTGTGTTTTGAGACAGGGTCTCATTAGTTCAGGCTGGCTTTAAACTCACTAGCCCAGGCTGGTCTTGAACTCACAGCTATTCTCCTGCTACAGCCTCCTGAATGCTAGGAGTACAGCTGACACCTCATGACTCTCCACACCTGACATGACTCCTAATTCTCACTGAGCTGTTAACCCCGAGCTAGGCCCTCCCTGCCTGTGGGGCTTTACATTATCCAACCACTGGTCCTCACAAAAATCGCCTGAGCTAGGTATAGTTATCACCATTTCATACATGAAAAAGAATAATGGTTGCTTAATGTCCCCATCCTAGAAAAATGAAGAATAGGAGCTATGCTCTTTGTGTCTGATGTCAAATTTCCTTTTCTTTAAATCTAGACCAGTACTGCTCAGTAAAAATATACTGTGAGCCACATATATAACTTAAGATTTTCTGGTACTCACCTTAAAAGAAGTGAAAAAAAAATCAAGTGAGGTTAATTTTGTTGTTTTCATTACCTCACTGTATTACTATTATTTCAGCATTTAATCAATATAAAAAAACTAGTGAGATAATGCACATTTTTGTCATTTTAAGTCTTAAAAACCCAATGTGGGCCATTGGAGATGCTTGCTTCCCACGGGCCACCAGAGTGGGCCAGGAGAAATTGGACATGCCTCTGCATGCCTGCTGCCATCACAGGAGTCCTGGTGTAGTCACACAGGCCAGGAGAAGCAGGCCTGCCACCATGCTCCCATGGCCCTGGGGGAGGCCTCAGTGTAGCTGTATGGTCTGGAGAAGCCCACTCCAAGGCCCACTGCTTCCCCAGGAGCCAAAGAAACCCTGGTTCCTGTCCCATTCCCCTACACCACAGAGGAGCAGTCCACATGGGAAGTGCTGGGACCCTACAACTGGCTTGTCAGGAGGAACCCAGGAAAATGTCAAGATGGTGGAGCAAAAGGAAATCTCAGACCTCCAGCTCACACAGAGCAGTTCTGGGAGACATAGATATGGAAGTCATACACCCTGAAATCCCTGAAAGGCCAGCAACCAAAGAAAAGAAACAACTTCATGAAGCTGTAAAAATAATCAGTTCAGGAACAATATCTCAGATAAAAGAAGAAATCAGAAACATAAAGAAAAAATTGCTGAGCATATCTAATAAAGACAGATTAAAAGGAGGAACATAGAAAAATGATGGAAACCTTGAATGAACAATATAGGGAGGAACTACAATGCATGAAACATATTCAAAGAAATATCTAGGAAATAAAAAACTCCATTGAAAGCTGGCAAAACCACTTGAAAGAGATTGAAGATAGACTTTCAGATCTTGAAGACAGACTACAGCTAGTAATCATGAAAGAAAGCTCTATTAAAAATAGCAAGGAACCAGGAAATAACAATTCAATGACTGCAAGACAATACAAAGGAAAATAACTTATTATTTATTTATTTGTTTATTCATTTTTGGCACCAGTAATCAATTTCATAACCTCACACTTGCCAGGCAGATGCTTATGCCACTGAGCTAAATCCTCGGCCCAAGAAAAATAATTTAAGAGTGACAGATATCAGTGAAAAAGCAGTGATAAATATCAGTGAAAAATCAGTAAAAAAGACTACAGAAGTAATAGTAGAGAACTTCCAGAACATGGGAAAAGGATCTGCCATACAGATAAGTCAGGCATATAGAACTCCAACTACTCATAACCAAAATAAATCTACACCTAGACATAAAATAATCAAGATCTCAGACACTCAGAACAAGGACAGAATATTAAAAAACAGTTAGAGAAAAGAAACATCACCTATAAAGGAAAACCCATCAGAATCACAACAGATCTCTCAAGACAAACCATCAAGTCAAGAAAAGCCTGCAGGGGCTGGGGATTTAGCTCAGCGGCATAAGTGCTGCCTTGCAAGCATGAGGTCTGAGTTCGATCCTTGGTACCGATAAAAAAAAAAGGTACCAATACCAGACCCTGGTACCGATAAAAACAAAAAAAAGACCAAAAAGAAAAGAAAAGCCTGGAGGGACCAGGAATATAGCTCAGTGTCATAAACACTTGCCTAGCAAATGTAAGGTCATGAGTTCGATTCCTGTTACTCCCCAAAAAAGAACTTGAAGTGAAGCATTTCAAGTCCTGAAAGAAAACAATTTCCAACCCAGATTGTTATACCCTGAAAAACTATCTTTCAAAATTGACAGAAAAGTAAGATACTTCCATGATAAAGCACAACTGAAGGAATTCATGACCATCAAACCAACCCTACAAAGAGTACTGAGAGATACTTAGAGAGAGATAAAGATTATCATGGTTCCAGGAACAGCAGCAGAATTGAATCCCCAAACAGGGCAGGGAGTCGAATAGTAGGGGGCCAACACAGGAGGACAGCAGGGCAGAGACAAGCCAATGCATGCCAGCTGTAACCGTTAATGTAGATGGCCTCAGTTCACCAATAAAAAGATACACAGGAGAGTGGATCAAGAAACAAGATTTATCGATATGCTGTATACAAGAAACATTTAACTCAAAAGGAAATTCATCAACTAAAAGTCAAAGGAGAGAAAACAATGCTCCATGTGACAGGAAACCAGAAAAAAAGGATAGCTTTCCCATCAACCACAGAATGGTCAAGAAAAATATGGCATTTTTATTCAATGAAAAGCTAATCAGCTATAAAGAAAGATAATCTCGAGGCTCTCTTAGGTAAATAGATGCAACCCGAGATCATGCTCATGGGTGAAATGCTTCAGGCTTATATGGGTAAACATTGTGTTATCTCCCTCGTTTAAACAACTGAAGGAGTTAGTGGGACCCAAAATGTGCAATAGATATTATGAAAGTGACAGGGGAAGAACCGTCTAAAAAGGGAAAATGATAACCAGTGTTAATTTCTATGATCTTGTTTTGAATCTTGTATTGTCACTATTGTTTCGTTAGGTTTGGTTTTATTCTGTCTTGTTCTATTGATTTTATTATGTCTGGTGGCATGCTATTTTGAGGATAACAAGATATATTATGGTAGCCATTGTTGATTTCCTGTAATCTTGTTTTGAAGTCCTGTGTTGCTTTCATTGTTTTGTTCTGATTGGCTTTATTCTGTTTTATTGTGCTCAGGTTTTAATTCTGTTTAAAATTAAAATTTTAAAAATCCAGTGTGTATTTTATACTTAAAGCACATCTCAATTAGGGTTAGTCAGATTTCAAGTGCCCAATAGGCCCACGGGTCTAGAGGCTATCATACTGGCCAACACAGACATACAACATTTATCATGGAGACAGTTCTTTTGGGAACTGCACTGGACTATACTGACTATACTGACTGTCAAAAAAAAAAGTCACTCATAAATTCATTTCTTCTCGTTCTTTCTTTCCAAGGAAAGGGACGTGATTCCCATTCAGTCCTTGCAGTGCTAAGTACATGTTCTAACACTAAAGTGGCTCTTCTCCATCCACATTAATATATTATACCCTTTCTATTTTCTCTGCATGCATGTACACATGTGAACATATTTTCGTATAAAGGTTATACTATACAACTTTTATCTTCCCTGTTTTTGTAACAAAACTGCATGACTCTCCAGTGGTTTTGGCTTTATGTGTTATGAGGCAGCTATGACGTGCTGAAATATCATGGGATATGGAATCCAAGAGTTTGATTGCTTAACATATGTGTAATATTGGATAAGCTATTCTCTGACCCTTGGTATGAGGAACACACAGATGTTTCTCATATGAGAATGAAACAGTGTTTATGAAAAGAGCTTAATACATGAAGGCTTTTAAAAGTACAACTGATTCTTATTATATGTACAATATACACTTACATATACAGCTAAGTATGCATATGTGATGCATGCGTGTGTGTGTGTGTGTGTGTGTGTGTGTGTGTGTGTGCATACATACTTGCTACCACTCAAACTGAAGAGCATTCAGTGGCCCAACCAAAGCTTCTTATTTTGTCCTCCTAATTGAGGCCAAGCTTTTGTTAATCAGTGCTAACTGTGACATTTTTCCAGTGGTCTTCCTCTCCCTTTTTCTCTGCAGAAAAATTTTGAGATATTCTTGCCTCCTGGACCTGGTAGGAGTTGCCGCATGAGGAGGAAGTCTGAATTCTGGAAGGATCTATTTCTCTTTTGGCTTCATTCAAACCAAATAAATCTTTCCTTTCCTGTAAGAAATAAACCTTTCCTTTCCCAACTTTAGGCATCAGGTATTTTGTCTCAGTGATGAGTAACTAAGACATTAGGTATAGCAATTATCCATCTCAGTGTGGGACTCACTGGGCTCCTTCCAGGCCTGGTTCCTCCTTCTCTGAGCTCTGTCCTGCTCAGTGCATCATTCTCTCATCCCAAGAAAAGGGACACAACTCCAAACCCCAGCGCCGTCAGTGTCTTTTGTTGATCCACGTGTGAGAAAGGTCCTTATGGAAGCAGCTGGAACATAGCTTCAAATCCACCGTGTATCCAAAACGTGTGGGGCCAGGGACTTAGCTCAGTGATACAGTGCTTACCTGGTCCTGAGTTCAATTCCTGATACCCCAAAAACAAACAAAACATGTTGCATCTCTCCTCACAAACTCTCTCTCTTGGCCTGTTGACAAATCTCTTTTTGATATTTACTGTGGAGAAACACAGTAGTATGCTCTGAACTATAGCACAAACCACTCATTTCCATGCATTTCTTTTTTAATTTCATCCAAAACGTATTCAGTGTTTCAGCCAATAATGTCCAAGGCTCTGACAATACAAAAAAGGAAACTGAAAAGCAAAAATAAGGTAGTTCTTGTTCACAGTTGGGAGTTCTCAGCTTTGTGGAGGGTGGACAGACCAAAGTAGATGATGGCTCCTCAGTGACATGGTGATTCGTGCAGTGTCCACTTGTTTAAACTGGATTTTCTAAAATTTCCTCCTCCTATAATGAATGTGATCATATGTATACCTAAAAGGTACCAATAAACTTAATTAAAAATAATAATGAAATTCTCTTCTATGCATCATTCTGGGTTAGAGTTGGGAAAAAGAATTTCCATGAGACTGGGGAGAGTTGTCATTTATCTGAGAGTCTTTCAAAGGTTAGATGAGATGACCAATAGATGCAGAGGTGACCAGTAGTTTCGAGTTTGTTCTCACTTGCCTGTGTCCAGCTCTTCCTACCAGCATAGTCCCTCTGGGCCCAGCCTATCCAACTCTTGTTTGTAGTTCAACAAGACCTCACGACTGCATCAGTCAGCTTTTCATCACTGTGACAAAACACCTGAGCGAAATAGATTAAAGGAGACAAAGCAACAGCATCAAATCGCAGAGAGCAGGTGAGGACTTGAAGGAGGCATGGCATTCATAATCCGAGGATGTCTAGAGACACAGACATCATCACAGCAGACTCTAACAGAGCATCTGGACTCATCACCAATCTTGTTAGGGTCGCAGAGCAACACTGTATGGCACAGTGAAACCCATATGGGAAGGAAGAAAGAGGGAGATAAAAACTTGCTGGGTCTTGAAGTGGGAGAAGGGAAAGGTGCTCTGAGCAGACCAGTAGCAAGTGCAAAGGACAGGAGCCCAGAGAGGGTGTCCTGAAAGTATTCTGTTGTCTCTGGAGATGATGAGTAAGGATGTGCCCCGTTCAGCCCTTTGAACAGAGAGGCGTCATCGTCAAACCTGGGTTTGAAGCAGCATTTGGAATGATGATAAGGAGACAGAGGTAGCTGGGAAGTGACAGAACTTACATGCCAGAATTCAGATGGGAGGGGGAAAGCATAGCTTCCTCATTTTTCTTATAGTTTATTTTATCTTTCTCTGAAGGCCCCAATCCCCTCATGGCCCGGGTGAATTGAGAATATAAACTTCCCAATTAAAGGTAATTAGGTCCCATCTGGTTTTGAAATATTGACAGGTTGAGGGTTGGAGGATTGTTAACCCAGATTCTGTTGAGAAATTAGTCTTCAAATGCAAATTTTTCAGTCCTCTAAACACGCTCTTCCAGATGTGTTTCTTTCCTCTAGAGTAGGCCTCCTTTCCCTTCCTCCCAGGAAGGCAGCTGGGTCACAGTGAGGCTCGGATAGATAGACGGTCATGCTGTGGGGCGAGGGCCCCCTCTGTCCATACTGTCTCCTGCTGGCCTCCAAGACTGCCCTGAATCCTCCCTGCCTCTGCCACCAATGTGTCAGGCCTGGTGTGAAGCACACTGTGTTCCCTGGGCGTGGGAAAGCTCTGTGTGTTCCCCCAAGCACAGCTGCCTTCTCCCCAGTGACTCAGCTCACTTTCATTCTGCAGATCCTCTGACATCAGGCTGCAACTCCCAACGGATTCCCAGCTCAGTCTTCTACAGGTGATCACGGCCCTCTTCCTGGGTGCTCTTTATAGTAGACACTTGTAGTGCACCATGCCAGTCCCCACCAGCTCGGGGGCTCACAGCTGAATCCTTGTTGGGAGTAGTCCTTGGCCAAAGGGAATTAGCTGGCCCAGGCTTTTGGGGGCAGGGGTAGTGCTTGTATTTAATGAGTGGTCAAAGCAGGACAGCAAAGGCCCAGCTCCTTCGCTTCTGTTTAGAATTCCCATGCAAGCAACAAGACTTTTATCACAACGGCATCACAGTTCAACCTCTCTCTCCCTACTCCTGCTTCCCTTGCTCTTTTAAAGACTCTCGCTGACCACAGTCACTAGAAGCCCCCAAGGAAGTTGCTGTCTAGAGTCCTTATGACCTCAGGGGAACTGTTGGATCCTTCCCGTGCTTTAGGCTTCCTGGCTCGGTTCATGAGTCTCTTTCTCAGATGGAGCATATTTTTGAAGGTTCAATGGGACAAGCTACCAGTGTCTTCCCAACGCTAAAGTAGAAAAGAGGCCCCAGGGCCTTGTGCCATCTCTTGCCTCTCAGTTAGTTTATCCCAAGGCTAAGCCAGGTGCATGGAGGTCGTGCTCTGTGAGGGTCCCAAACAACCTGTCCCTCAGGTGTGGTCCTCTCTCTCCCTGCTCAGGATGTCCCTTGTACTTCCTGGCTCACAGCAAGCTCCTAGGAGCCAAGGCAGCCAATGCTGCCCATTGGTGGCTGGCCAGGGCATGGCGTCTCTGACTCTAAACCATCTCCTCTGTCCAAAATGGGCCAGCACTGCAAATAGATATTTTTCTGGCCAGAAGGCTTCCTGTTGGATTTTGCCAGATTGGATCACTCGGAAGAGATCAAAAGCCTTGTTTGCTTGAGGTTCCTGCAAGGATCTCCCCAGAGATGACACGTTGGTCGTGCTCAGCAACTCCCACCACTCTGTGTCCGTGTCCCAGTGGCCTTCTCGGCCTAGAACACGCCCTGGCAGCACCTTTGCCCCTCAGCCCACAAGGTCCCTCTGAGCTTCAAGTTCTAAACACACAAACCTGTACCTTTGGGTCCCCAGCCCCAGGGGGCCTGCTGCCACCTGCTGGTGTAGCTCAGGTTGCTGGGGTGTCCTGTTTGCTCACTTGGTCCTCCTGTATCTGGGGGAGAATCCCTCATCCTGACTCCACTGTTGGAATTCACTCTGCCTCACATAGGACTGATGTATAAAGGGAAGACTTGAAATTATTTTTCCTTGTATAAGCTGACTTTCAAGATTATTTCAACTGTGCACTAAAAAAAAAATACCATTAAGGAAGCTCTCAAAGGTGATTATAATAACTTTCTTTTTCATGGCTTTACTGTTTGAACAACTCTGTGGATGCTTCTGATTAAACAAGACAGAATACTTGTAAGGAAATGCAGAAAAGAAATGCACTTTGACACGCACACACAGCACGCCTATTTTTCTCATGGCCAAGTCACTGCAGCAGGTGCTTCACACAGGACTGGGGCAGCAGTACCCTGAACAAAGAGCAAGGGGCGTGGCCGAGAAATAACTGCAAGTAAAGCCACAGAGGTAAGCAACTGACCCTCACACAGAACATGCGTACTGACCACTGCCAGCCTCAGCCAACGGCCTCCAGCTCAGGAAGCAGCTCAGGTGATCAGAATCAGACCAGGAGAGAAGAGCTACACCAGAGAAGCACAAGCCGATTTCTGTCTCATATTGTAGAGTTCGGTTGCTGAAAGTCAAGACCGTTTACTTGTGGGAAGGCAGCTAAATACTTGTAATACTTGTCACTTTTTCTTTCCTTTTCTTCATTTTTCTTTCCTTCCTTCCTTTCTTTCTTTTCTTTCATTCATTCTTTCTTATATTTTGAACATATCTAGCCCCTCATCATCCTCCTCTACATTCTCCCATTTATTCCCTTTCTTTTATCCAATAATGGTCTCTCTTCTACTTTTATATCATCTTTTTAGATTTCATATTAGGAAAAAATATGATATTTGCCTTTCAAAATTTATTTTACTTTGTTTCACATGATGATCTCCAGTTCCATCCATTTTCCTGCTAATGACTTAATTTTACGTTTTTCCTCTTCTGAATAATACTCCATTGTGTATCTGTGTACCACATTCATCTGTTGCTTTATACATTCATTGTTGCTGGGCAGATGAATCTTAGCTATTGTGAATTGTGTTGCAATGAACATGGGGATGCAAATATCCCTATTGTATGATGACTTTAATTTCTTCAGGTATTATTCAAGGAGTTGTATACCTGGGTCAAAGCGCACTTTTATTTCTAGTTTTTTGAGAAACTTTCATAGTGACTGTACTAATTTATATTCTTACCAGAAGTGTAGAAGGTTTTTTTTTCCACATCCTTGCCAACATTTATTGTTTTGTTTGTTTGTTTTTAGAGAGAAAACAAGAAAAACAAAAAGCAAGAAATATACAAACAACTACAAGAACAACAAAAAAAACCAAAACAGTAACAACACACACTTTCAAAACAAGATGACAGGAATTTAATAATAGTTGTAATATTGCATACTGTTATCTTCAAAAGAGTTGCTTAGGTTACCAGATATAGACATGCAAATTGATTTAATCATATGAATATTAACTAGTCTTTTCCAAGAACTAGTAGAATTAGTAGCATATTTATCTTAGCCATTTTATGTATATATAAACAAATTTATATCTTTTTCATTGTGGTTTTAATGTGCATTTCTCTAATGGCTAAAGATACAGGATTTTTTTTTCCTATACTTTTTGGCTATTAGTACTTCTGAGGAGTGTCTATTCAATTCATTTGCTCACTTAGTGATTGGGCTATTCCATTTTTTTTTTTTTTTGATGTTGTTGTTTCTATAGTTTCTGTGTATTTTAGAGGTTAACAATCTGTTAAAAGGGTAACTGGCAAAGACTTTCTCCCATTCAGTAAGCTGTTTACTCACTCTGTTAGTTGCCTCCCTTACTATGCGGAAAATTTTGGTATAGTCCCATTTGTTTTCTGTGCTATTGGAGTTCTATTCAAGAAATCTTAGAAAGAAAGAAAGCAAGAATAAAAGAAAAGAAAGAAATCTTTACTCGTGCCTATGGCTCCAAGTGTTTCAATTAATATTTTCTTTTTGCAGTTTCAAAGTTAATTGTCTTGTTTTTTGTTTTTGTTTTTTTATTTTTTAAATTTTTGTGGTACCAGGGATTAAACTCAGGACCTTGCACTTGCTAGGCAGGTGCTTATGCCACTGAGCTAAATCCCCAGCCCTAATTATCATTTTTTAAAATAAGGAGTTTAAAGAACACAATATCTGATTCAAAGAATGGATTCTTCTCTATGAATTTTCTATGGTACTCACAAGTACTTATAAAATAATGTTGGCAAGCCTTTTGTTATTGTTTCTCATTTTTTGTTTTTGGACACAGGGTCTCACTATGTAGTTCAGGCTGGCTTTGAATTCACTATGTAGCCCAGACTGGCCTTGAACTCCCTGTGATCGTCCTGCCTCAGCCCCCTAAGTGCTAGGATGACAAATGTGCTGTCATGCCCAGTGGGAAGACTTTCATTGTGGTTTTGATCTGAGATGTCTCCCCAGAGCCAAATGTACTCAGAGACATGGCC